CGGTCCTCTCCTTGAGCACCTTAACGGTGACGTCGGCGTGGTTGTCCCCGGCGTTTAGGAAAAATCACGGCACGGCCCTGCCGTCAATTTTCGTTGCCGGCCGCTCCCACATGAAACCGTACTGGAAGAACGGGATCAAGCGAAAAGGGCCTCCCTTGCCGGTGTAGAGTTCCTGCGGCGNCTCCTTGAGCACCTTAACGGTGACGTCGGCGTGGTTGTCCCCGGCGTTTAGGAAAAATCACGGCACGGCCCTGCCGTCAATTTTCGTTGCCGGCCGCTCCCACATGAAACCGTACTGGAAGAACGGGATCAAGCGAAAAGGGCCTCCCTTGCCGGTGTAGAGTTCCTGCGGCGACGCACCCCCGGGGTTGGAAGGAGATGCTGACTGGTCCAGCTTCTGCGCCGCGTCTTTTGCCGACTCCGCCCAGAACTCATCGCCGCGAACACTCAGCCCGCGGACACGAGAAAATCCTGCGGGGCCAAGCAGCTCTTGGGCGACCCGGCGGGATGCCTTGGGCACCTTAGGGCACCTCTAGATGGCGCTCTCGACGACGCCGTTGTACTGCTGCACGCCGGGGGGGGAGTACTCGAGCGCGATCCCCATGCTGGCATAGAACTCCTTGAAGTCGCTGCTGGTCCAAGGGCATCGCAGTCGCAGCGGATGCACTTGATCGCGGTACCATCCTTGTGGGCGGCATCCACGACCATGCGCTTGACGACCGCTAGCGCCTCCCACTTACGCCCCATGGCGTAGCAGACCATCCATCCCGTGGCGGCGTCCTCACCGAAGAGCATATAATGGTTGCCACCGATCGTCGCCGTGTACGCGCCCGGGAGGCCGATGCGGAACACGTCGTTCGGCGCCCTCTTGCCGCGGTACCCGCCCCCCTGCTCCCGCACCGGCGCTCTCGTCCCACGCGCTGGCAAGCACCATCGGCAGCTGTCCATCGTGCCCGTGAGGGTAATCCCGTGCTACTTCGCGGACAGTCTCAAAATGGGTTCGGACAAGCGGCCGGCACGGTTGTGGAACGTGTTAATATCCATAACCTTTTGTGCATTGCCGACATTGAAAGGTGTATTCCCCGGACCCAACACAGCCATGGCGCGTTTACACTCTTCACTCGTCCACACATCAATCACCTTCGCCGAGTATTCCGCTACAGCATCCGTCACACGGGGGGGTTCTAGATCAGAATCCATCGCGGCTGTAAGAGCCGATGCCACAAAGAAAAAAGAACTCTCACGGGCACTCTCATTCGCAACGTCCATAGAAGGCAGGGATTTGTGGGGAAGGCGGGTTGCCAAAAGGGAGTCGCTCGAAACGCCACGAATAAAACGCAGTTTTCCGTGCATCATTTGCGTACCGTTGGGGTTGATACGGACGTCATGCTTGTGAGACACCTTCCATACCGAGAAACGGTTGAAACCACACCCACCCGTGTACAAACAAAACTTCTGGCACAGTGACGTCCAAATCCTCCTGTTTCCCATCGGCTCCGACTTGGTGGAACCTAAGGTCCAAACTCCCTACAGCGGCAACCTTGACGAGAGCCGAGTCTCCAATCAGAAAAAATCGTTCATCCGGGCCCAAGTTGCGTACATTGTACATTGCATCCACTTTGTTCGAAATCATCGCACTAGCTCCAGAATCGGCCTGCCATTGTTCGCTACGAATCGGATTCGGCATGGAGGGTTGGCACAGGAATGCTTTCTCAACCGTGGGACGGCGGGTGAGCCGGGCTACGACTACCTTTCCAGGCACACTTGGTACAGCAGGGACAGATGCATCACACTCCGGAACGCCGTTCACTTCATCAGGACTCTCAAGTGCAGCGGGCACGCGGGGTACATCATGAGGACACACCAAACTTCATGACACCGAACTCATCATCAGAACGTTCATGCACAGCAGGCACGCGGGGAACACCAGGCATTGACACATGAGACTCCGCACTCGTGAACACGTCAGACTTCGAAAAACCAACATCCTTCTCAAAACCAATCTCAGACTTGCCTCGAGGGCACACGCCACGTGCCACGAAGAGATGCAGGGGGGGATCGCCGGCTGGACGTAGAGCGTCGCCTGGGGCTGGAGAGAGTGAGGAGGAGGAAGAGGTCGTCTGGGGTGCACCGTAGTGCTGCTGCTGCTCATGCTGCTGCGAGGTGTCAAAGGCCTCGTAGACTCGCGGTTGTTGGGCGTCCGGTCCGGCAGCAGAAGGATAGTGTGGTACGTTGCTCACTTCTTGCTGCTGGTAGAGCCCTCCGCCGTCGGGGAATGGGTGGAAACCGTGTCCCCCGCCGGCGGCGCTGCCGTAGGGACCTCCGCCATGGTCCACTCCGTGAGCCGCGAGCCCGTATCCGTAGCCTGCCTCAGGAGGTGGTGGGGTCCAGCTGGGTGTAGATCCGGGCGCCGACGTGGCCTCCCATCCCGAGGTGATGTCGCCGCCTGATGGTTCTCCACCTCCGATGGCGAAATGAGCCGGAAAAAAGGGCCGCGGTACGTTAGCAATCTGGGCGGGAGGAACGTTGGGCGGCGGATAATCACCACCACGGCCGCCCACCTGACGAACTCGGCTCTCCGGGGGGGAAGGACCGTATCCACCATACCCACCCCCCCCAGAGTTGCGCCCCTGCAGCTGTCCTGCAGTTCCGGATCCTTGCCCACGCGGCGGTCCCGGCAGCGCTGGAGAGTGGCCCCGACTCCAGCCCGCACCTTGTTCGTTTTTACGGCTGCTGTCGATATGGGCCACCAACCATCCCCCCCGAGTCTTGGGCTCCGCCTCGAGGGAAGACCGATCCCTGGGCCTCCCGCCTCCCGCTCATGTACGCGCAGAACTCGTTGTAGTGGGCGAGGAATTCGTTGAGTAACTTGTGACATTCGGAGGTCTCGTGGGTGCTGTTGGGGCCGTGGAGCTGGCAGTAGTGCGATGGTTGCTGCTGATGTGGCTGCACCGACCTTTGTGGTTGCTGGAGTCGATGTCCGCCTTGCTCCGATCCTGCAGCGGCTGGTTTCCCCGCCTCGCCGCCCCGGCCCACGCCGGCAGCGACGAGGGCGTGCCTCATCTCTTCCTTCCCCTCGCCAGCTCTCCGCTCGTACCTTAGCTCGTGCTCTTCCAACCTCAGCATCTTCTGCATTGTAGCCCTCGACAACATCGAATCAAACAGAAGACGGTCTTTAGTTTTCTCAAACCTTGGGAGAAATCCCCGGACTATTTGCCTGCACATCGACTTTTCATCCCTGTTATCACCATACGATCGAAGTCTCATCCACAGAGCAACTGCCCTACCGTAGTAGTCCATAAGACTCTCTCCTTGCCTCTGGCCCACTACGTTCCATGCGTCGTTAAGAGTTTGTCACTCCTGACTCTTGTCCTGGCTGTATTGTTCGAGAAACACGCGGTACCCTGCTTGAGGGGATTCTGATGCCAAGATTTGGGCTTGTACGGGTTGTGCTTTGATCTTAGCTAGCATAAACGTCCAAATCTTCCTGGAGTGCTTCACTCTCTCCTCTCCGAACGTGCTGCTCATTCAATTCAAATCCACACCAGCTGCACCAACACGGACCTCTAAACTCCTCATCACACCAGCAAGTCCCTCACTCTCCAGCCACGCTTCAAAAACACTCGTGAACACTCGCAATGCAACTTCGATCGATCTGTTCTTCAGATAGTCATCACTCCATACTGGTACATCTATCTTTTCTCTCTGCCTCAGTTCTAAGATCTGGTTGCTAGACGTGCCTGAGTGGGCACGGTGCCCCTGGTCATGTATTGATGTCGCGAAGGCCTGCTTGAAGAGGTCAACCAGCTCACGCATCGTGTCGCGCTGATCTTCCCCTCCTGCCGCTCGCGCACCCCCTCGGTCTCGTGCATCGTTGAAGAATTATCGCTCCCTCCTCCGTCCGCGACGCCTTCCCCGGGGGGAGGGACAGCCAAGCGTGGTAGCCGGGGAAAAAGGACTTGATTGCACACAGGAAGGAGGAAAAAGTGGAAAGAAAAACAAGTAAGAAACCACAACGCACAATCACCATACCCGTTGTAGACACACACATACCCCCACCCTCAATCCTGCAATATACGGCAAAGTTGGTACCATCAAATCGAATCCAAAGCAACTGCTGAACCCCCAAACTCCCCGCTCCATCTGCTCGGAAATTTCTTGCCTGCAATAATCTGTCGATGCTGTGAGTACGTCCAACAGCCTGATAATGTACATCACAGACACCCACCCCCCGCTTCTTAACACACATCCCAGCCACCCCCCACTCGTCAACAACGTCTCGAACACATAACATCATACTTTTACTCACGCTGCCAATCTTCTCCTCTATGTTCAGGATGAGGTGCCTCAAGCAGTGCCGGTGCTGCGCCAGCGGGGCCTCGCCCCGCAGCGCACAGGTCGCCTCCTTGTGCTGGTCCGTGAAGAAGGTTGTTTTTGAGTCTTCCAGCAGGTCCCTCATCTTCGGGTTCTTCTTGCAGTTGCGCAGCAAAGTATTGTAGAGGGAGGTGTCCTCCTTGGGTCCGATCACCGCCGCGACGTGGATGTTCTCGTTGTTAGCGTCCTTGCACGTCAGCGTCAGCATCATCCCGTTCCACTCTCCCTTGAGATGTCCCCCATCCATCCCCACGACCTGAGGACGTTTTTTATAGAGCAAAGAGGGAGGGAAAGGGTGAAGGCAATTCGTCAAAACGAAAAATCAATGGTAAGGGCGACATGCATACTTAACGTCGCTCCGGAAGAAAGGCAGGGGCAACATATAAGTTTCAACATGACGGACGGCCTTCGCAGATCTTCGCGTCGATCTCTTTGGAAGGAATGGGAACGTGTTTGCGCTGGGGGAAAGGGAGATACAACTGCTACAAAAATCTTGAGCGGTGGCGTGGGGGCATCGACCGGTCTCACCCGGCCTCAAAGGAAACAACTTAAGTCTTCGAGATATACCACCAAGACGCCGATCTCCGTTGATGCCGGCAATGTTTCGCAGGTTGTTGGAGTGGAAAGCGGGCACCACGCAAATAGCAAGGCAACAAAGATGGTGAGTGTCGATCCCTGTATCGTTTACTATATCCTCCCCCGGTACCCCCGGGGTTGGGTTTTCGTCGCTTGGCAACGACGTTGTAAANCAAAGGAAACAACTTAAGTCTTCGAGATATACCACCAAGACGCCGATCTCCGTTGATGCCGGCAATGTTTCGCAGGTTGTTGGAGTGGAAAGCGGGCACCACGCAAATAGCAAGGCAACAAAGATGGTGAGTGTCGATCCCTGTATCGTTTACTATATCCTCCCCCGGTACCCCCGGGGTTGGGTTTTCGTCGCTTGGCAACGACGTTGTAAACAAGCCCATCGCTTCGTGAGCTCGACAACCAGGTTACCGCATTTTTTTTTGCGGTAACCGTAATGCAACTCTCACTCCGCGCAAAGGGGATGATCGCACCACGTTGTGTTAAATTGGGCGAGCACCTTCGAGGCAGATACACAGTGCTCATAACTGTCTCCGGAAGTGCAAAGCGCAAGTGAAAACACCAGAAAATATATGATCAAGTCATTTGCAGCTGTCATCCATATGCAAGAAAGTAAGCGCGCGATGCCGAACACCCTTAGCAGGATACACCGCACCCTTCATGCAACTCGCCGAATACCTCGCGGCGCTTTGCGCTTGGTGATGTGAGAGCCTGGTCCGGTGAGAACCCGGCGTGCTCCGTCCCGCTTTGTAGGGATTCGAGGTCAATGGTCTAACGACTACGGCATGCGTTTACATCAGTACACCCCCCCCCCTAGACTAGGTACAAGAGGGGTAATGGAGGGCCAGTGCGCTCGTCCGCCTATACCCCAGACGGTTGACCACATCCTCGTGAACACATCTCCGGGCGCGCAAGTGACAATGACACTCGACACAAGGGTTTGACTGCATTCAACGTTGCCTACGTGGTGTTAGAACAGGAGTATCCTCAAATTGATACTCCAATGGGTTACAACATGCACCGTGCAACAAGGAAGGCGCAAATGTGCACACGTGTGTTCCGATTAAAAATGGAAAGGGCCAATCCCAACTCTGCGTGACACACACCTTCATCGGGCTTCGCACCGCAGCGTGAGCAGCACGCCGGAGCATGACGAAAACACTGCGGAACCTGCCGGTAGTCTCCCTCTGACACAGCAGTGCAGAGGAGCGCAGGGGAGGACGAAACACATCGAAGGGGGGTAGGAGGATGGCAAAAGTTCGATTGCCAATTCAAACAAGTTTCAAAACTTTTTCAAACAATCACAACGTGTCTCTACAACAGACGACGCAAAACTCCTTACACAAAAGAGACAAAACAAGATAAATTGGTCAAATTCAAATTCCAATCAAACCAACTTTTCCCGCCTATTTGTCCACCCTTATATTTGGTTTGCATCAAGAGGCATCATTAGCCATCCATTTTAGGGGCGCTGATACCGCTATTTCTACCAGAGATCAGGCTGCTTCAACAGAATTGCAGACATAGTGCCACATTTGCGTGAGTAGTTGTGGATGGTGGTGCCGAGCTCACATCGGGGGTGCAGTCTACCCACAGCAGACACCATGCATTCAAGCCATTTCTACCCACGAATTCAACCACCGCTGATAATCCACCCACCTCCACCACCGCAACCGATCCCGGACAGTCCTTCACCAGCTCCTTGCAGTACGAGTCCATGATGCGGTACCCGTGCTCCAGTTGCTCGTTCGATGCCCTTGCAGCCGCGACCTTCAGGCGTGACGCCGTGCTGTAGCTGACCCTGAGTCCTGTGCTCTGCTCCAGGCTCCTCTTGAGGTCGGTGCCCTTCATGGTCAGGGTGCTGACCATGTTGGCACTGGCGAAGCCCTCGAGCGCAGCTGCTATCGCTCCGACCTCGCCGCCAGAGCAGTCGTTGTGTCCCGGGATGAAGAACGTCACCTTGAACTCTCTCGACCTCTGCCTGCAGGCGCGCACGGTCACCTGGCATCCTCCTGCGGCGCCATTGCAAATGTACTTCTTCTGCCTGTCGCCTCCCTTCCCGGAATGAAAGCTACGACCAGCTGCCGACAACATGGCCGCCACATCTAGCCTTAAGGCTTTCGCGTCTTTGTAATGTTTGCAATGTTTGCCACTCCCCAGCATGATGACCGCCGTGTGGCGCGCGGGTGAGGTGTGTTTGTGTGTGGTTAGGACCTGCCTCCGGGGGCCGGGCACGGCGGTTGTATTTTCGCCGCCATCTACGGAGGAGGAGGCTGTCGGAGATTGATATCCTTGGAGGCATTGTGCCCGTCAACAAGCGTTGGTGGTTTTGTGTGGCTACTGTGGGGTATGTGCGGTGTATGGTGTGTCGTGCGGGTATGTGCGGTATACGTTTTTTCCTGCGGGTTTTAGAGTCGTCGGCGCCGGGACTATATGACCATTTCTGGGTACAAAATCGACCCTTTCCGGGTACACCAGTAAACAGCATCGGTAACACCAGACAGTCTGGAGATGCCGCCCGCTACCTGGGGGTACCTGGGGGTGCAGGCGCGTTGATTTTTAAGTGTACCCGAAAGGGGTGACGAAGTACCCGGGTATACCCGTATCTGATTACTCCTCTATATTTGTACTTCGAAGTATATTCATTTATATATTTTGCGTCTTCACTTCAAATCAGCGCTCACAGCACTAGTACCGTTTACTCCAACCCGTCGTCACACAGAAGAGCCCTCTCTACTCTCCCCTCTTGCGGTATTTTGCCTTCGACTTTTCATGCGAGAAGAGTTAAGCACAAAATTCCCTCTGTGAACACACGAACAAGCGCTATCCACTAGGCCAGGAGCGGAAGCGAGAGAAAATGCTTTGCAAGAAAAGCTCGCTTACGCCGGGATTCGAGTCCCCGACCTGACCTTGAGAAGGTTTCGAAGACACCAACTAGACCACCGGGGCGACCGAATGCTGCGTACGCAAGCGCGATGCCGGGGAAGTTTCTCTCCCACTCTCTGTTTATAACTAGCGCGTGACCGAAGTATGTGTTGGTGCTTCCAAGAGGAATCGATCTTCGACGAAATGGCGTGAAAGAAGTGCACGTAAAATTCACAATGTTTGAAGCAAGCATAGATTCAAAATGAACGAGCAGTCTCTTCTATGGGCCCTTAGGTCTAGTCTAATGTTTCTATAAGAAGTATACCCATAACAGCAATTACAATCGGCATGCTATTATGTCCACCGGGGAGAAACCCTCCGTATCGTAAACTGTGTGTGGTGAACACGTTGCAGAGGGTTTGACACGTCAAGTTGCTGTTGTAGCGAGGAAACTGCTGCGTTTGAACTGCTTCTGGTGAACGGAAAAAAAAAGGCGCCAGATCACAGACAGGACGAGCCACATAGACTACAATATTCATGCGACGATGAAGAGATGGCGGGGGGAAGGTACAGGGAGAGAGAGGACTAAATCAAATAAAGAAAAACAGAAGATGTTGGGGTGCCCTGCTATTCGCAGACCCTGGTCGGTGGGGATTCAACATCGTGGTTACTGCGTGTACGTGGTACGTGGAGTCGACGATGTGTAGCGCACCGGCCAGTGGAGCACTCCTCGACCATCTTGGTAAGAGGATGCTCGTTGCCCACGTGAGTATTTTTTCCCCTCCTAAACGTGGTTGCCTTTGTTTTTCGGCACGATGTCGATAGGCAACATTGGGAGGGGAGGGGAGTAGGAGAGGGCGGATACAATCCATGTTGTCTGGGAGACGGTGCGGGGGCGTGGTTGGGCAGACATTCGACCTCGTATTTGTCAAGAGGAGAAACATGGGATATCGACACCCAAAGTATTTGCCCTAAACACAGTGATAATGTACAAGTCGTGGGTTCGATTCACACCTACCTGTAACTACTCTTTTTTCACTATTTTTTCAGGGACTCGACAATATTTTCACCACCGGACGATTGCCATAGTTCGTCTCGGTAACTACAGGAGTATTGCTTTCGACCCTGGATGGCAAGACAATGCTTGGAATACCCAATGGTATGAGAAGTATTGTCTTGTCTTCCAACCACGCAAACGATTTTTTGCGGGGATTGATCGAACGCCGTCGACGAGTCTAAAGAATATTCTCCGTGCAGGCTAATGAGCTGTCCAAACGCCATCCATCTGCGGTACACAGCAAAATGGCCCACGAGAACCGCCTGCACAGCTTTCGTGTGTGTCCCCTGCTTGCTGCTACCCACACCGAGCGATACGCAACGAAGAAGGTGTTCAGCAAGGTACTTTTTACTGCCGTACATATTAGAAGTACTGCTGGAGTTTTTGCTGTAGCGTGCAGTGATGTTCCCCAAGAGGATGTTGTTCTCGTCATACTTCGTAACGACTTTTTTGGGCCAACACGTGCGACGTTTATGTTCACGGTAGAGTCCATACCTTGTCGTCTCGACCGCAGCAGCAGCAGCCGCAGCCGCGTTGCATCATCTACTGTTGCACAACTCTCAAATACTGCTGAACACTGCCACACCTCGTTTTCTCCCAACTATCCCCTCAACATCGCAACTCTGCAAGCTGAAGAAGAAATAAGTAGTGGAAACCCGAGTGCGATTCTCGGATTGGACACCATGTAACGAGTCGTTAGCACGGAGCGGTGGAGGCCTGAGGTGTGTAATCAGTAAGTACGTATAGCTCCCGTTCATGACAAGGTTTCTGGCGCGAGAAAGGGGAGTATTGCCCCCACAGGTATTCGCTCATGCAGCGATGCACACACACTGACCTCTCTTGGTGCAATCGAACGACTGTACCGAGTGCGATGAGTAGTGAAGATACTCGTACCAGCTGTAGTAGCCGATGTAGTGTCGGAGCAAAGGCCTCCTTGTGGATGACATGGTCTTATTATTTTTGTTCAAGCTCAGGATGGTAGCTTGTGAGCAGAGGAGGGCGAGTCCGGACAGCCCTTGCAGAGGCTCCGCCGAATGCGGCCAACTACCTCTGTGGGGGTGTACTTGCGGGGCAATGAATGTCTCGAACCGTAACACAAGTACACACCTTTCTTCCCCTCGCTGCCTCGGCAAGGTTTTGCGTAGGCATGACNACATGGTCTTATTATTTTTGTTCAAGCTCAGGATGGTAGCTTGTGAGCAGAGGAGGGCGAGTCCGGACAGCCCTTGCAGAGGCTCCGCCGAATGCGGCCAACTACCTCTGTGGGGGTGTACTTGCGGGGCAATGAATGTCTCGAACCGTAACACAAGTACACACCTTTCTTCCCCTCGCTGCCTCGGCAAGGTTTTGCGTAGGCATGACCCATAGCGATGGGGGGGGGTCTTTCTAGCGAGCAGGGCTAGAGTCACCCTCAAGGGACCGATACCTTCTTGCTGCGGCGCACCCGCCGCGAGGCTTGCGTAGTGGTGGAGTTGGGTCGGCACTGGTGCGTCAGGTACAAAGGTGCAGATGCGCGGGCCTCCAGGCCGTCGGTGTAGGCAGCGATGCCCATCTCATCTTTGTGCGCGGGGGCAGACGTCATCATCAGTAAGGAGGACGGGCACTATGTACACGGCCCTAGGTTTGCTAGAGGGAGCTGTGTACCGTCTCAGTAACCTGGTTTTGCCATCAAAGGAGGAGGAGACAGGTGGTGACNGGGCAGACGTCATCATCAGTAAGGAGGACGGGCACTATGTACACGGCCCTAGGTTTGCTAGAGGGAGCTGTGTACCGTCTCAGTAACCTGGTTTTGCCATCAAAGGAGGAGGAGACAGGTGGTGACGAGCTGATTGGGCTGGTTGACCCTTCGGCGCGAGAATTTTCAGACCTAGAACCCTAAGTGCAACGAGGGAGAAAGCGAGGAACCGACTGGGAAGGACAGCAACGAGAGCGTGTACGAAGCGGAGCGGGTCGAGTTTGGTCGTGCTAGGACTGGCCACAGCGGCAACGGAGCAGCGGCACCGGAGCAGCGGAACCGGAGCATGCGGACGGCATCGAACCGTGGCGCACGGACAAACATCTCTTGCGTTGTCAATTATTTTTCCGTTTTTTTCCTAAATTTAGGTGTTGGGTGTGCGTGATGACGTCGTCACTGTTTTTTTTGTAGAGACGCGGCATAGATGGCGCGGATAACCCGGGTGCCTTAATTGTGTATCTGCATCGTGGAAGACCCTTCAATGTGGAATGATTCCTAGTCAGTGTCGATGTTTACACTGCCGCTGTGCCAAATACAGATCTGGATAGATTCGGGTGATTGTCAATTGTAATGATGGCTTTGGTTGGTTGGGTGTTCTTCATTGTATGTCCACAGAATCATCATTCTGACAGCACTTCAGACAGCAGCTGCATGCCCCGAGCTTGTGTACCATGCACCATGCATGGTGTTACTATTGTTGTGCAGACAGCACTGCAGACAGCAGCTATAAGATAAAGTTACACCATTAGCCTAATGCATCATGGTGTTATTATGGTACAGGCAGCACTTCAGACAGCAGCTATAAGGTAAAATTACATATCAGCTGACTAGTCTAATGATGTAGTCTAACTATATCTTACGATATGCTCAGAGCTCATATGCACCCGCCTGGATCACATTTTTGGGTTCGTGAGTAGAAATCTCCGGGGACGGACCCCTCGCCAGACGTTGCCTGAAAAGAACTTAATGGTGTTTGGGAAAGTGACCAGTCGGGTTTTGAACCCGTGCGTGAGTCCTTTTTCCCCAAATTTAAACCATTAGACTAGTCAGCGCTCACTTTTCTAATTTATGGTGTAACTTAATCTTCTAAAGGATCCCGGCACGAGTTCAAATACCGCCTGGATCACTTTACTTTGCAAAAAAGTGCACCTAGAACTATCAGCGTCTGGCGAGGGGTCCGTCCCCGGAGATCTCTACTCACAAACCCAAGTGATCCCGGCGGGTGCAAATGAGCACTGAGCATATCTTTTGTAAGATAAAGTTACACCATTAGACTAATAGTCAGCCGCTGACTAGTCTAATGGTGGTGTAACTTTAACTTATAGCAGCTGCATACCCCTAGTTTGTGTAACATGCACCATGGTTTTATTATTGTACAGACAGCACTTTAGACAGCAGTACGCTGTAGTCGACAAGCATTCATTTTGGTTCAATGCGGGACAAGGGGGGGGATGCTGCTGCTGTAGTTGAATTGTAGTGTGTGGGCGTGTAGTTCAGTTGNTGATCCCGGCGGGTGCAAATGAGCACTGAGCATATCTTTTGTAAGATAAAGTTACACCATTAGACTAATAGTCAGCCGCTGACTAGTCTAATGGTGGTGTAACTTTAACTTATAGCAGCTGCATACCCCTAGTTTGTGTAACATGCACCATGGTTTTATTATTGTACAGACAGCACTTTAGACAGCAGTACGCTGTAGTCGACAAGCATTCATTTTGGTTCAATGCGGGACAAGGGGGGGGATGCTGCTGCTGTAGTTGAATTGTAGTGTGTGGGCGTGTAGTTCAGTTGTGAGCACGCAAACAAGACGTGCTGCAGGGATTGCAGGTGTACCTCCTCGGGCTTGTGTACCCTTTCCTTGCAAATGTGTGTGTGTGTTCTTTAGATCTTCTGATGGCTCTAGCATTGTTGTGACCACNCGCAAACAAAACGTGCTGCAGGGATTGCAGGTGTACCTCCTCGGGCTTGTGTACCCTTTCCTTGCAAATGTGTGTGTGTGTTCTTTAGATCTTCTGATGGCTCTAGCATTGTTGTGACCACGGACAGAGTCTTTGCTAGATTTTGGGATTAGCAACTGACACGAGTTTAATGTGAAGAAAAACAACAACAACACACAGCAGTCCGCGCGGCCAAAGAGAAGGCCAGCGCCCAGCGAAAAGGCCCTGGAGTTGGCGCGGCACCAACAAGAGGGAGGCTGCACGGTCAGAAGGCCAAGTTGGGCTTGTTTGCGCGGCTTTAGGTCACCAATACCCGCCCGTCACGCACAGGTTGAGGCGAGGGGGAAGGGGAGAACGAGCGCCGGAACCGCGGAGACAGCGACAACCGATGACGTAGAGGTGGTGGCAGTACCGCCAGCAAAGAGGAGCACACAGACAGAAGGAAGAGCACGCAGTGGCCTCCTGGTGTAGATGGGCGCGTCCTCCCCGCGCAAGATTATTCTTCACTGGTTCTCTGCTAGCAGCATGGAGAGAGGGTTTGACTTGATGTGCCCCAGTCCCAATAACCTCTTCTCTCCCAAAGGCTTGAAATGCGACACTGCAATTCGTGCAGAGGCTGCCGGCCAGTACAATTACTTCCTCCCTGTCTACGTTCTGGTGCGATTTCGTGTAGTAGGGTCGAGGGGGGCGGCACAGACACGCACACTCAAAAGCAGAGCAGTGAGAGAGAGCGGCGTCTCAGCAGGGTGCATGCAGCTGTCACGCAGCGCACCACAAAAAAGCAATACCACCTGCGGTCAGGGGAATGTTGGTTGGGTGGGAGAGAACTGTTGCCCCTCAGCCAATCATATGAAGCCGCTTAAATCTAAAAATATTTGCCTGCACGAAGTTTCCAGGACACTTTATTAAGTCTAAATCTGCTTCGGTTAGTGGAAAAATTTGGAGCCCAAGTCCGAATTTATTGTGTTGTGTATTTACAATATGCTTTTCACAAAACCGATTTCTTTTCCGCGGCGGCGGTGCGGGAGGCGGCCGGCGCGCAGGCACTCGAGGCTGGAGCACCGGTATCGGCGGCAGCACCGGCGACGAGAGTGGCGAACCCTGCCATGGCGCCTCCTGTCGAATAATTTGCGAGTATGTTTGCTCGGGCTGCAGGTGCGGGTACTCCGGCTGTCCCTAGCTGCGGGAGCAGTTCCGACGGTCGGCTCCGCTGCATTTGCCTCCTCCAGCGTGGTCGCTTCCGCGGCTGGTACGGCATGGTGTCGTTGCCACTCGCGTTGAGACCCTCTCCATCACCGACATGCATGAGCTGTTGCGTGCGGCCGATTGTGCAACACATGCAGCGCCGATGGCCATACTCACCGCAGGCAGTGCAGTGTCTAGTCTAGTCCCCGAGTGAGCGTCCACGCCTCCCTCACCTCACGCACTCATGTACGGCACCCATCGGAGCGCCTGGCCGCGGAGATGACTCCTCTCGCGGGTAAACGGCGTTGCGTATAGCGTCGTCGTTGCGTCATAGAGCCCCCCAGATCCCCGCGTCGAGAAGGTAGGAGGTGGGTGGTGTGCAGGTGGTGGTTGTGGATGAACCCACTGCCGCTGCTGCCCATGCTGCCGCCACCGCCATTCCTGCCCCCCCTGACCGTCGCCGCCATGTCCGCACCCCAAACCATCGATCGCCTGCGCTTTGCCCAACTCCTTGATCATGACATTGTTCGCGTATGCCGTGCGAACAACGTTTTTCACTTTCGCTCGTCGAATGGTAGGGTTGGCAAGGATGGACTTGCGTTCGACGTCGTTTTCGTGCGCAAGCTGCCGGACAATGATGTGCACAATTTCCCGCGACGACTTGACAATGGCGGCAGGATAGTTCTCATGATGTTGACGAATCCGTCTAATCTGCCGAAGAAAAGCTTCGGGTCATCGCCGGGACACATCTCAATGGTCTCAAGTTGCCTCACAAGCGATGTCTTCTCAGCGCCAAGTGTATTAGCCATTCGTGGATCACGCTCCACGCCTCAGGGACGCAGTGGCAAGCAGCCTATCGTTTTTTAATGTCCGTGCCGCAGGCCGCTGCTAACCGAAATCCTCACGCCCGCTTGCGTGCCGTAACAAGGTCCGCACCATGAACTCGGTTCAGATATGTGCGATCCGAACAGCTGATGGCAGGATAATAGTCAGTGGGGTAGGTGTCTTCAAGCGTCTCCTCCGACCCTCGCTAAGCCAGGAAATTCCGCATTCTCCGAAGCCAGCTCACGGCTTTCGCCGAGTCTTTCGGGATTTTGGGCGGTTTGTGACTGCTCCTGTATCCCCTCACCCGTTGTGTACCGAGCCCAGCTCCGCCAGCTACCCGGCAGCCTCCTCCCGGCAGACATTGCTTCTCTCGGCCCATCAGTATTCTCCTTCACATGCAAGTATTCCTCCTCCGTCTCGTCCTTTTCCTCCCTCACCATCTCGCTTCTCTTCCTCCGCCAAATTACGCCGCAAACAAAATCGGCACGACGTGTCTCCTACTGCTGTTGTGTTTCTTGTAGTGCGCGCTGGCGAAAACCGCCTACAGCTGCTGTCCTTGTTTTCCGGAGCGTACCTCCCGACCCTTTCCCTACCGACGTCAGCTGACGCCACGATATCGTGTATAGGGTGTCGGTGCGTGCACTGCGTTATCGCGCTCGCGGTCTTTGTCGAGGGCGTTTTGCACAAAGGAGTGACTCAAGTTCCTGTATTAGAGAGTGAGAAACATGGGCAGGCTAGCAGAGCCTAGCACGTCAAGTCCATCGCACCCAATCACATGTAACCCCCAGAGATCTCGGAGACTCGTATCCTACCGAGTACACACACAAAAACACACAAAAAGTCACTGATGAAACGACAAAACAAACCTTGGAAGTACATGGTCAATCTTCGGAACGAGAGTTGTCTTCTGTTCGGGCGCCGTTGTTACGTGTCGCTTGAAGTTGTGGCCTTGTTGTAACCATGACCGCGGTGATTTACCGCCATGGTGGGCGGTACCGGTACACCACCGTTTTTCCGCCGTTTTTCCATTTTACCGCCTCCGCCAAAGTCGAAACCGCCGAAAAACTCGAATACCGCCAACCGCCAACACATTACAGCCTTACGGCGTTACCGCCGAAAACATACTGCCGTTTATTCGTTTTACCACCTCCGTCAAAGTAGATCCCACCGAAAAACATACGACCGCCTACCGTCATAGCAATTACGGCCATACGGCAATCCCGCTGAAAACGTGTTCGCCAAAAACATAAGATACCGAGGATGCCCTTGAAATTGTCTACGTTGACCAATTTTGAAATAAACGAAGAGCACCAGAAAAGGTACGACACAGATAACACTGGAAGGAAGGCATCGCGAAAACATACAAGTATATAATTGATTCTCGCACAGGGTGGCAGCAAAGGCTGCTCACAACAGAAGTTTCACGCGTCTGCTCCACACGCTCCCTTTGTACAACACCTGCAGCAGGCGCGTACAGTTGACTGCCGCCC